CAACAGAAACCACAAGACAGACCTAACAAAAAGGAGACCAGGTAACTACACCAAGAAAGAATTCAAACACCAGAACTCCAGACGCCTAGATCAGAAGTACATTATTTATATCTTTAAAGAAAGATGAACAACCAAGGCAGTATGTCTCCTCCAGAAACCAACAGACCTATTACAATAGGCCCTGAGAAAGTCGTTAAGCTGAAGCACAAGACAAGAACTTCAAAACAAGAACCATAAAGAAGACTTGAATAGAGCCCTTAAAGAAGATCATGAAAGCACAAACAATGGAATGAAATAAAGAAAACAATTCAAGACATGAAAATAGAATTTAACAAAGAAATAGAATCACCAAAGAAAACACAGACTGAGATAAAACTGAAAATGAAAGACAGGCTGTCAAACAAACACTTCAGAGGAATCTTCCCCATTGACATAAAAGAGAGTCTCATGCCTTGACGATGGGGTAGAATAAATGGATAATTCAATTGAAGAAAATGGTGTGTGTGTGTGTATTTAAAAACTCCAAACACAAAATATCCAGGAAATCTAGAATATTTTGAAAAGACCAAACTCACAGATAATAGAGATAGAGGGGAAAAGAAAAACAAAGTCAAAGGCACAGAAAATATTTTCAATAAAATCATAAAAGAAAATTTACGTAATTTAAACAGAGGTGCCTTTATCAAGATATAAGAAACATACAGAACATAAAATAGTCTAAAAAAGAAAGTCCAGTCAGTGTGCACTGATTTTGTGTATTAATTTTGAATTCTCCTAATTTGCTTAGTAGTTTCCTGGTGAAGTTTTTAATGACTTCATATATAAAATCACTCCACCTGCAAATCAAGACACTTTGACGTTTTCCTTTCCTGTTTCAATTCTGCTTTCCTTCAGTTGTCTTACTGCTCTAGTAAACATTTCAAGGTTTTTATTGAATAGGTGTGGAGAGAGTGGATAGCCTTGTTTTGTTCTGGATTTTAGAGTGAGCTTGCTGTAAATTCCCTTTATCCTGTTGAGATGTATCACTATAACTATAGTTTCTCCAAGACTTTTAACATGAAGGTGTGTTGGGTTTTGTCAAGGGCCTTTTCTCCAACTAATGAGATGATTATGTGGAATTTATCTTTCAGTTTCTTTTTCGTGTGGATTACATAACCTTTTTATATGCAAATACAATTAGACTGAAAAGGAAATTAGGGAAACAGTACCTCCTTTTTTACAATCACCTCAAAACATAACAAAAACTAAAACAAACAGAAATCTTGGAATAACTGTAACCAAGAAAGCAAAAAAAAAAAAAAAACCAACCTTGTATAATAAAAGTTTTAAGATATTGAAGAAAGAAACTTGGAAAGACATCAGAAGATTGAAATACGTTTCATGCTCATGGATCCACAGGATTAACACAGTGAAATGGTCATCCTAGAAAAGCATCTAAAGGGCGGGAGATGGCTCAAAGGTTAAGAGCACTGACTGCTCTTCCAAAGGACCTGAGTTCAATTCCAAGCAACCACATAGTGGTACACAAACATCCTTAAGGAGATCCGGTGCCTTCTTCTGGCCTGCAGGCATACATGCAGGCAGAAGACGGTATACATAATAAATAAATAAATCTTTAAAAAACAAAGCATCTATAGATTCAGTGAAATCTCCATCAAAATTTCAACAGAATCAAAAAAACAGCTGCTGTAGGTCTCAGCATTCCTGACGTCAAGTTACGCTACAGAGATGCAGTAATATAAACAGCATGGTATTAGCATGAGAACAGACATGCCGAATAATACAACCAAACTGAAGACTAAGGAAACCTATGAACACAAGAGTTTTTGCAAAAAAAAAAAAAGCCAAAAATACACACTGGAGGAAAGACAGTATCTTCAAGCAATGGTAAAGGTCAAACTGAATGGTTGCATATTGATCAACTTATAAAAAACTCAAATCCAAGTCGATCAAAGATTTCAACATAAAACCAGATGCACTGAATCTGATAGACAGGGAACTCGGCAACAGGCTTGAATTCATTGGCACAGGAAAGGAATAGGACGCTCGCCGATAGCACAGACACTAAGACCAACTAATAAACGGAACCTTATACTGCTAAAAATCTTTTGTATAGCACAGGACACCATTATTCAAGCAAAGCAGCAGCCTACAGAATGGGAAAAGATCTTTACCAAATATACATGTGACACGGGGATAGGATAGTATCTAGAATATATAAAGAGCTAAAAACATATCAAGAAAACAACAATTAAAAAATGGGATATAGAATTAAGTAGAGTTCTCAAAAAGGTAAAAAAATAAATGTTTAGAAACACTTAGAAAGTGTTCAATATCCTTAGCTACCATTGAAATTCAAATCAATACTTTGAAACTTAATTTTATACCAATCAGAATGGACAAGATAAATAAAACCAATGACAGATCATTCTGAGGAGCATACAGAGTAAGGGGAACACTCATTCATTGCTGCTGGGACTGTAAATTTGTTCAGTTGCTATGGAAACCAATCTGGCAGTTCCTCAGGAAAGTGGGAATATATCTACCTCAAGATCCAGTTATACAACTCCTGGGCGTAAACCCAAAGACTGTATCTTACCTCATCCACGTTCATAGGTGCTCTATTCATAATAGCCAGAAACAGGCAAACAGCCTAAAGTGAGTAATGGAAATGTGGCATATTGACACAATGGAATATTGTGCAACTGCTTTGAAAAATAAAATTATGATAAATGGAGAAAAAATTATCCTGATGAGATAACCCAGATCTAAAAAGGCAAATGAATATTGCCTGTTTTTTCTCATACGTGAATTTTGTTTTTAACTTTAGACGTGTGCTTCAAACTAATAACCACAAAGGTTAGGTAGCTAGTAAGGGATTGAGTATGCAAGTGGCAAGGGAATACAGTCTTACAAAAGGAGATAAGGCAGAAACCAGACTACAAGGATTGAATGGAGAGCAGGGTGGGTGGGCAGCCGAAAGGAGGGCATTCAAGGAGGGAAAATTAACAATAACGGTCTTTTGAAAAGCCATATGGAAACATTATACTGCAGAAGCTTCCTAAAATATATGCATATGTGAAAGGAATCAAAGAGTAACAGAAATAATAAAAGAGATGATAACCCAACTAGACATCTTATGCTACCAAATAAAACCTGCAGTGCCAGGAATTAGTTGCATCTTATTGCCCTATGGAAACCTCCATACATAAAAGACTATCAGCAAAGCAATTACTTACTCTCCATAACCTGATAGTAAGGCCCTACCTCTATCAACAATTACATATGTTATTGATCACAGAGAAATCCAGCTGGTGCCCAAATCAGAAGCCTCACTCCAACTAACTAATGTTCATGTTGCTATAAGATTTTACATACTACCAGAGGAGAAAACTAATCGTCAGTATTGCCCAGACACAAACTCTGACACCCACAACAGCAACCTGCTTGCGAGATATATTGTTGCTCTACTGGCACAAATGTTGTAGGATTAACCAATCACTTTTTAATTGGCTTTAAACTCTACATGGCGGACAATGAGGGCTGCTGAGAAGCCAAGAACAATGGCACTGGGTTTTGATCCTACTGTATGTACTGGCTTTGTGGGAGCCTAGGCTGTTTGGATGCTCACCTTCCTAGACCTGCATGGAGGGGGGAGGACCTTGGAATTCCCACAGGGCAGGGAACCCTGACTGCTCTTTGGGCTGGAGAGGGAGGGGGGAGGGGTGCAGGGGAGAAGGAGGGAAATGAGAGGCGGAGGCGGGGAGAAGGAAGAAATTTTTAATAATAAATAAATAAATAAATAAATAAATAAATAAATAAATAAACTCTACTGCATGACCCAGGAGCCCCTGAGCCAGAAGTGACCCAAATGCCAGTTGGAACTGACAAGAAAAAGGGAGTAAGCAACCAACACTCAGATTCAGCTATGATGCCTACCAACCACAATAATGACCAGTTAGTCACAGTAACCCTAAGGGTGCAGTAGTGGCACACACACTTTGGCAGTAACCAACAACTCTGTAATTGGAATTAAGACCTGCTCAACAAAAGGGAAATCATGTCTGGTACTGGAAACCTAGCAAACTACCCATGGCTAGTGAAAACATAGATCACGGAAGAAAACCTACAACCATAATTTTACTAAATCAGCATAATCCCTAACTACACTCTAAATATTTGTTCTTATACCCAATAAGTGTAGTTCTTACTCCTTACCAAGAGATGGGAAACATTCCAGAAAACCACAACCAATTAAAATGCAGAGTTGTGAAGTATGCCCCAATGGATACATCTGCAAAACAACTTCCACACCTAAGGGGACACCGCAGAAGATGGGGTGGAAATATTTTAAAAGCCAGGGGATCAGGGAGTATCTCCTAGAATTGTCAGCAGAGACACACCTAAAGTATCACCAACATTACTGCCTAAACATGAGACAAACAAGGACAAAAGTGGAAGGCCAAAGTGAAGTAGGGGAAAGACCACAATGTCTCAACCCTATACCAAGAACTATAGGTAACTAAGTCATGCTATGAGTTGGAGACATGGTTGTCCTATGCTAAACTGTCAGCCCTGGGAACACGCAAGTAACATTAAACAGACTGAGTAGGTTATATTTAGGAATAAGAACATATGTGTGTGTGAATTTCTATAATATATTAATTATATTTATATATACATGTACATATGTGAATGTAACAACAATTCATGAAAAAAGAGGCCATCAATTTGAAAAAAAGCAAAGAGAGGTTGGTTATATGGGACAGGTTGGAGGGGAAAAGGGGAAAGAGAGAAATGATGTAACAATTAAATTATGATCTCAAAACTAAAATAAAAAATATACCTTTTCATGAGATGAAACCAAAATCTAACAGTGCTAAAATGGCCAAGAAGCTTAGACTAGGTAAGTCTATGATCTGCTAAGGATGACTCCTGATATACTGCTATACCTATAGGTCAGTGCATTATTCAACCTCATCAGAAAAGTATCTTCTTACAGCAAAGACTCGTGAATGGACAATGTGCAGAGAGTGACAGGCTCTGGAGCACTCCGTCCTAAATGGGATGTCTTTATCAAACCCCTTCCTTCAAGGCTCAGGGATCTATATGGAAAAGGAAGAGGAAAGATTGTAATAATCAGAGATGGTGCATGACTCCAAGGAAACAGTGTCTTGCAGATAGGAAAGAACCAGTATACAAATGAGCTCATAAATAGTATGGCAGCATACGCAAAACACACAAGATCCAAAACGTGTGTGCATGCAATTTGGTTTCACTTTGCTTTTTTTTTTTCTTATTGGCTTTTTGTTTGTTTTGTGGGGAGAATCTGAGAGGAGTTTGGAAAGAACATGATCAAAATGTATGAAGAAAATTTTTATAGAAAAATGTATGCTAACTAGAAGCGAGAAAACAAAGAGCCACAAGTATTAGCACACTAGAACATTTCCATACTCAGATCATCACACAGATCAAGCAAACACATGCAACAGCCCGAGATTCTAGTTCTAGATGGGTGTGGAGCCAGTACTAATAAAGGAGTACAGGGAAACCCTCCATCTGACTGTGGACTGATCAATCTCTTTGTTGTTTAGTCTCCTCTTCCACAGACATAGTGTCTATCTTATAAGAGGATACACTTCTTATAGGATATGTTCACTTGGCCTGGGTGACAGGGTCAGACAGAAATCACACACCCGGGAAGTATTATGAAGATGCATGTGCTTCACTAGGACACTTCATACTGAAACACTTGGGAATATTCATGTGTTTAAGTAAAGTTGAGAAATGCCTGGTTGTAAAGAGTAGTCTTGGAGTTAAAAGATCCGACTAAGGACCCAGTTCCCCATGCCAGTTGTGGTGTGATCTTGGACAAATCCAAAAAATGGCTGCTTCTGGAACCCACTCCTTACTCTCTAGAGTAGGATACTTGAGGAAGTGCTGGCCCAGCTACAGGAGGAGCTGCAGAGCAAGCCTCATGCAGCTTCCTGCCTGTCATTTTCAACAAACTGTACAAGAGAACTAATGACAAAAACACAAAGAACAAGGCTTCCACTAAGAAAGACACCTGCCAGCCTAAATCTGAAGGCCACCTGTCACAGGTTATATACAAAGTAGCATGTCAAAAGCAAAGGTGAAAATTGTTTAATTCACTCCCAGCTTGAGTGGCACCACATCTGCACATGCCCACACTCCTTCACAATAGACAAACATCTGTGTTTAGGCTTTGCAGTCACTGTAGGACCAGCATTTGGTGCACACAATTTTTTGGGGGGGGGGGTCTGATCAGGATGAAATTGTTACATTTACAGAAACTGAAGCTGCTGGGAGACAGGAGCATCACTGCTCAGAAGGCACAATTCTGTGACCAGCAGGCCAAGCTCTGCGATTACATTCTCCAGAAAGGCAGGATGTTCACAGTTCCTATGGAATTTCAGGGCCTTAGGGAGTGAATGGCTACCCACTTGACGGCCAGCATCCTTTCTTAGGATATTATTAAAGGATATCTATTATTAAAGCATATCATCTTTCTTCAGGATGATATTAAATACTTAGGTCAAATTTTCAGAGTAGATAAACACAGTTCTCAAGTCCAGATGCTCTAGCATGACTGTTTCCAGGAGCATGTTACTTGGAACATGTATGGAAGTTTCCATACATGTAACTCAGAAGGACAGATTCCACTTCTCCAGTTAGAAGAAACAACAACAATAAGTCCAGTCAGCCCCACTAGATGACATCACACCTCCCTGCACGGCCTGGCAGCAAGAGGTGACTCTTACCTTTGGGCTGGAGTGCTGTAGCTGTTGTCATAGGAGTCGTAACTCTGCTCGTCATACGCCGTACCATACCCATCATCATAGTCCTGAAACACACCAGAGGAGAGAAATTAAGAAGACCCTTTGGAAAGAAAGAACACTCTGCTTCCAGTTCCTGCATGGTACCAGCTGATGCTAACTGAATCTAACCATGGTGTGAGATGTGCAGTTGTGGCTTCAGTCCAATGGCCAGAGCAAAAAGCTCCCAACATTCTCTCAAAAGAACAAGCATGTGCTGGAAACCATTGCTACATGGTCAGGACTCAAAAATGAACCAGGGAGCTGCAGAGTGCCAAAGAACATTTATTTAAAAACAAACACACAAAGGAAGAAAGCATGGCTAAATCTTGGTGAGAACAGAAGTGTGTGATATTTCCACTTAGCAACCACAGGCTGGGAGCCACTGGGGTGCAGTGAGGCAACTGGAACAGCCTTTAGCAACGGTTCCCAGTGAGTGATCTTCATCTGATCTGACTTGGCACTCTCTTTAGTACAAACAGGCTCACTCCCTAGGGGTTAGCCGAAGAAAATAACTAGAGCCACTTGTTTAACAGTTTACCTACTTGAGACTGTCGAGAAATACTGGGCAAATGAGTTAATTAATAAGCATTAAAGAAATACAAAAAAATCCCAGAAATCTAGAGGGCTGTGCCCACCTCAGTGCCATACGCCCAGAACTGTTTCCTTTGGCTGACCCTGAGATCCAGCATGGGGAGGAAATGGACTTAAAAAGCTGAGCTGAGGGTAAACTGGCTGGGTGAGTGCCGGGTATGAGTGCCAATATACCTAAGCATACACCCATCAGAAGCCAGGCACAAAGTTAACGCAGAGGAGACTAAAGGGGCAACGTCTGATGCATACATATGTCACAGAATTTGTTTTGAATAGTCCTAAACATAAAACATACAACAAATCCTGGAAGAATGTGATTCCTAGAGTTGATGATTAATATATATTGTATCTAGTTTAAAACAAGAATTTGAGGCATGTTAATAAAAACACAAAAATATGGTCTTTCTATAAGAAAAATAGCTGTTAATAAAAATTGTCTCTGAGGAAGGAAAACCATTCAATCTGCTAGGCAAAGAATTTAAACCAGCATCTTGAACATAGCCAAGGAGCTAAACAAACTGTTATGACCAAGAAAAGCCTCAGTATATCACCTCACCAAATAGAGCCTATCAGTGGACAGAGAGGCCAAGGAAATGCTTGGCTTGGAAACCAATAAAGCAGAAACGTCACTGGTCTCATCAGCAGAAACACTGGACAGAAGTCACTGAACTTGAAGACAGACATGCTGAGAACAAAGAACGGAAAGAAAGAACATAGCATCAGAGACCTGTGAACAGTACCCAGTGAATGAGCAGAAAAATATTCAGAGAAACAACCAGTTCAAACCTTTCCCAATTTGATGAGAAAACTTCACATACCTAAGAAGCTTAACATTTCCAAAAGTAAAACCACAGAGATCCACAACCGTAAGAGCCAGAAAGGCAAACGCAGAAAACCCTGCCAAAGACATGTACCTGGTGACACAGGAACATCCCGACAGGAAGGACAGCACCCAGAAGACAAGGAGAACCCAGATTCCAGACACAAAGGACGCTCAGACAGTAGAGTGGGTGAGGGGCGCTGCACTGAAACGCTCCTTCAAATTAACAGAGGATTCAGAACCATAGCAGGCAAAACCAGAAAAGGACCAGTAGTAGACACACATTTTAGGAAACAGAGAGAGCCCTTCAAAGAAGGAGAAGTTGTTAGTAACTTGAAGCTACATGAAAAATTTCATGTTTAGAAATACATAAAGGACAATACAAAGATAAATATGTAACTATGGAGCGATACATCCAATAACAGCAAAACACACCTGCATGACAGTGGATCAGAAAAACAGTCTATATATTTGAAGAATAATTACAGTAACCAAAGCAATATACCCTCACAGGCACACAAAAAAAGAAAGTCAGAAATTACCATTCATATTTAAATGCAATTCACTTTTTAACAATAGTTTCAAGACAGCTCACTCGGGACTTTTCAATAAATAATGCTGGGACCCCTGCAGAGAGACCCACACATAAGATAAAATTGAATGACAACCTCACATCATATGCAAACATTAACACATCATGCATCATATCTGCATGTGAGCAGTTACAGAACTTGGAGAACAAAAGGTAAGCATGACTATACACTGTCACCGTCATGACCTTGGGTCAGTGATTTCTTTGACAGACTAGCGAAAGCACAGAGCCGAGGAATATGGAGAAAAAAAGAGCTCAGAGAAATTCAAAGCTTTCAACTTTCAAAGGACACTATTTAAAAGAAATGAAAAGATAATCCACTTCATGGGGGACAAAAATCAGTAACACATGGGATTTGGTTTACTCTCCAAAATAGAAAAGGATTCTTATAACTCAACCAGGAAAAGACAGTAACTACAAGATTAAAGCCAGCCTCATCATTCTTTGGGAGCCATGCTTTATCCATGTTGGTTAATTCTGAGAGAGTTCTATGTTGAGAACACTGGCCTCCAACTCACAAGAGATCCTCCTGCCTCTGCCTCTCACTGTTATTTCTAAAGAGCCGTGAGCTTCCAAACAGTCAAGAAAAACAATGTTTCTGTACAATGGAATCTGACATGTTACACACTAGTCTTTAGGCCACAAAAGCACTGTCTCTTGTCCTATAGCTGGCTCTAAGTTTCCAGGGTTAATTACATGGTGGCTCTGGGTTTACTGGTATTTTTAAAATACTTAAATCATTTGTGAACAACACCTTTGACCATCAGAGCACAGCCCCTGGCGGTAGGTGTAAATGCACCACGTGGTCAAAGGAGCATCAACACTAGTTACCGGGCTATACAATCTCGCACTCAATGCAGCTCATCCTTGCATCAAATTCTGTTTTTACACTTATGTAAATCCTCAAACTATATAGAAGGGATGAGAAGGATACATATACGTCCAGCATATGATGAACTTCAGAATGATCTGACATCAATCATTCTCAAATGGTAGACCACAATCCCACATCTACACTTTTTTTCCTGGAATTTTAATAAAACTCAAAAAAGGTGAAGAATGTCAAAGTTACTATGTACAGGAGAGTCACATAATAGGTTCAAAAGTGATTAACTCATTCTCTTAAAATATTTTATTTTTATTCATGTATATATGTGTGTTGTTGTGTGTGTATGTGAGTATGAATTCAGGTGCGCATGGAGGCCAGAAGAGGGCATCAAAATCCCGAGCTGGAGTTGCAAGCATGCAGGGGATTAAGAGCATCGGAAAGTGAGGTTGGGGGAACAGAATTCCAGTACACTCCTGATGCAGTGCGTGTTCTTAACTGCTGAACCATTATTCCAGCCCCAGTACCTTTTAAATTAAAAAGAAATAGATACAATAATTGGACATATTTTGCAGGTACAGTTTTATTTAAGGATATCAAAATGCTAACTATCTTGACTCGGTCATTATGTATTCACTTTTAGAAAACATTTACAGACTCACTTCATTTAATTTACAAAAAACAGTTATCTAAATAGAAGGTTTCAAAATCTTCCAATTTTATAAAACAAGTGTCAGCAGAAATAGATACTACCAAATTGTAGGTGTAAGTCTTATATAAATTATATGTGATTACCTATACAGCTGAATGTTTTGTGAAAAGGAAGAAATGAATACAAAATGGGAGACGGTCGTATAAAAGGAATAAAATTGTAACACAGAAACAAGCCACGGTGTTCTTCAGCGTTAAAGGTAAATCACTAATTTGGTTATGATATTTCAGTGGCCAATGCAAAGTGGCCATAAAACAAATTCTGAGATGATTTTCATAACAAAGCAGTAGCAAAATAACAACACGAATTCTGACCAACTACTAAGCTAAAAGCTGGCAATAACTAATATCAGGAACATTTCCAATCATTGTTTAAACTTTTCATGCATGCACTGACATAGACACCATGATGGAGATCTTCCTACGGCTAATGAGTGACTTCATACAATGAAGTGGAGTGGAGATAATGGACAGCCAAAGAGAGCCTTGAATTCATTATGTCAGTGGTGAGACAGACCAGACCAACTGAGAAAAGCAAAGGAAGCTCAATGTGAATTCATAGAAAACCTAGTATTTTCTTTTCAAAGAAAGGTCTTAAGAATTATTCAGAATGAATGGAAGGTGTAAAGCAATGGAGGAACAGACCTTTTGTATCTAGGGATGCTACAAACTGGAATGAACACAGCAAGACAAGAGTAGAGGAATGATGATGAAAAGCCAGGAGCTGCTTCATGGAGGACCAGTTAAAGAATGGACATCTGGATTTTAGTGACATGATTGCCTTGTGTTGCAGAAATCCCTGTCTGGCAATACTGCAGAACAAAAAGGATGGTGTGCAAAGTCGGTGTGCAAGAAGGTCATTATGGGGTACAAATAGTTTGGGAAATACACAGGTTATGGCTTCCTTAGCAACATGTTAAATGTCGGTAAAGACTGGGTAGTTCAAGGAAAGAGTTCTGATATATATATTTAAGATTATAAATGACTAAAATTTAAAATTTTAACTAAAATACTATGCTGTGCACCATTTTACTTCTATACCATGCCATTCAATCCTTGCTCAACTCTTATGCCAGGTTATTTGCAATACTATTTAAGGACACAATTGTTCAGCTCACTGAATGACTAACATCCGTGTTTTATACTTCACAATATGAATCTACAGTTCTTTATTTTATGATTTCTTTATTGGACTTGGCTACGAAGTATGTATTTTGTACTTCTTCCAACTACAGCAGTGATATCTGCTCAGTGGACACTATATGGAAATATAGGGACACGGAAAGTGTTAAAGTGACAGGGTTAAGGAACAGTTGCCTGGGACTCCAGGGCTCTTCTACTGCGTTTACTGAGAGTTCCCAGACTGAGAATAAGAGAACCAGAGAAATGAACAAGGGTGGGTGAAGAATGGTGGAGCTTATTAAGTCTCTAAACATCAGATCCCCCCCCCCATTACTTTTTGTGAGACTATCTCAAGTAGCCCAGG